GAGCTGCATGTTTATAAAAAGTAGAGTTGTTGTGGTAATTAATTAAAAATGGCTGCTGGCCAAGCCGATTATCTCAGCTGCAGCAGCTCTGCCGAGCTCAGCTGCCATGTTCTGTGGCCAGAGGCCACGTGCATGCCGCAGCTAGAAATGGCCAGCCAGAAACATCAGCCCTGTGCCACCTACGAGATGCCAGTGTGGGAGATGGCTCTGCCAATCTTCCACGCTGTCTCCACAAGGCTGGACATTGCCCAGACCATCCCGCCATCCATGCGGGCCCAGTAAGAAAATGAGACTCTAATGCTTAAAGATTAATCAAAGCCTTTATATGTTTAGCAATGCTCAATAACAATATGCCTATAAAAAGAGAGTTATTTCCCAATTAGCTAACCTAAATAAAAATTGTTACCCGCGACTGCTCTCCATACCTGCATGGCCCTCCATCGCTCCCACAGCTCTGCCTCTCCCTAGCTCTAGCTCTTCCTCTTCCTTTTCCTCTTCCTCTCCTTACTCCTCCCACCTTAGCTCCTCCTACAGAGAGTGGTTAAACAAACTATGGTTTGTCCTCAAGTGTCTAGACTGTCCAGCTTCCCCTTGCAGGGAGCAAGATGAGATTGGATACAGAGACCGAAGGTTCCAGCTGTTCTTGCTTTTCTCTCAGTATTGACTCACCTTTCCATTCCTGATAAGAAACCCAAGGGAAATGAGAGATGGCTCAGCAATTAAGATTACTGGCTGCTCTACCACAGGACATAGGTTTGGCTCCCAGTACCCACAGAGCAGCTCAAAAATACCTACAGCTCCAGTTCCAAAGGATCGACACCCCATTCTGAAAACTCTAGCTACTGAATACATGTGGACCACAGACATACATGCAGACAAACCATCTACACAAATAAAATAAGAGAAGTTTAAAAATAAAATCTGTATGTACAAACATACTCCCAAATACATATGCACAGAAGTTACCTCCAAGCTCAGAGCACTTTATAATTGGAACAGTGTCCAGATCTTAGGACTGTTTATAACACTTACCAAATATAATGACCTCTGTGTGACGCTCAGACACAGCCAAGACAAAACCCGACATCGTTTTAAATATATAAATCTCAAGTTGTCCACACCGTCTCTCTCCATCTCAGTCTTTTAAGTCAGAGTTCATTGACATTACTACCAGAAGGTCAAAATTACCTGTACTAAGTTAGCATGTGTCAACTCTTATCTACTGGTGGCATGAACCAGACAACCCAGTCATTTTTAACATGTGACTCTTTTAAATTAATTTTAATATAATGAGACATTAACAAATGAACATATGAACCAATTAAAAGAAAGTCGCAGTGCATCCTAGCTGCAGTCTTCAGAATGGGGCCACATGAGAGACATTAAATACTGTTGGATCATGAACTATCTTGTTACTAAGAAAGGCACAAAAGTTGCATCTGATAACCCTGCACTTGTTGATCAATTAAAAAAATTTAAAAATAAGTTGTGTGAATAAAATCATTATATTTTTTAAAGAAAGCAAAACTCAAGAAGTCAGTTCTGAGACACCCAATGTACTTATTTTAAAATAGGCATTTTTTTTTGTTTAGTTTTTTTGTTTGTTTTTGCTTTGTTTTGTTTTCATTTTGTTTTGTTTTTCAAGACAGGGTTTTTCTGTGTAGCCCTGGCTGTCCTGGAACTCACTTTGTAGTCCAGCCTGGCCTCAAACTCAGAGATCCACCAGCTTCTGTTTCCCTAGTGCTGTGATTAAAGGCGTGCGCCACCAGAAAGTTAAAACTAATATTGTCCACCAGGCAAATGTTTTATGAACTTAGAATTGATCATAAGTCTTATCTATTTAACTTTTTAAAGCACAAAATATATTAAACATAAAACAGTAAATCTTTTATCATGTGCTGAATGCTGGCGAGCAGACAGAAGACAGCTGACAAAAGTTACTTACTTGGTAGTATGGACCATATTCCAGAAGAGAAGCTGTGTCAGCAAAGACTGGTTTAAACTGCCCTTGGGACTAAAGAGAGGGCCCAGTGGTTAAGCACACTGGCTACTCTTCCAGAGGACCAAGGTTCAAATCCCAGCACTCACATGGTGGCTCACAATGACCTAACTTCAGTTCCAAAGGATCTGACACCCTCCATTGGCACTGTCTATACATGGAGTATAGACATACAGGCAGGAGAACCACTTATACACATAAAAACAAAACTAGGCAAGAAAAATACACACACACACACACACACACACACACACACACACACGTACACACGCACACACTCACCGACACACGCACACATACCGCCCCCAAGATAAATGACCCTGCAGTTATTTAGAGAGTTTGAATGTTGCAGCTCCAGAGGCAAATAACTTCACTTTCAGCTACCTTTAGTCCCTAAAAGAACAAAACCTTGACCACCTTTGTGTCTGAACCACTATCCTGTGATGAATAGACAGAAATCTTGGAATCCATTAACTTAGCAAACCAACCCAAAAGCCTAAAATGTTATCAAATAGCATCTAGGGGCTACAGAAATGCTTCTTCCCCCATTTGGCTATATGCACTTCTATGCTATACCCATCTATATACTTTAAACTTGCCTTGATTTATGACTTTGTTATGTAAAACTATAAAACTCTCATGAAACTGCTTCCATGTTTAAACGAGTAATTTGGGGTGACCTAAATCTGTCTTCCAAGGACATGGTTATTAAAATGCTTCAAAATACATTTTTATTCTCTTTAAGATGAGAGCTATTGTTTTTTTTTTCTGTTTGTTCTACTTTGATTTGGTTTTTTAATTTTGGAACCAAAAAGACCAATGCTCTGACAAAAATGTCATGGTTAAGAGACATTACCATGCATTTTCTGGACCTGGGCGCAGTAGGATGCTTTTAATATAAACACAGCACTCTCTCTCTCTCTCTCTCTCTCTCTCTCTCTCTCCTTCAGTCTGTCTGTCTGTCTTTTCTTTCTTTCATCGTACCCATAAGTCTGTCTATCAGTCTGTCTGTCTTTTTTTTTTCTGGTAAAACCACCCCTCCATCATTTCTATATAAATGGACATAGGATGGGAATGTGATGCTGGAGACTAGCAGCTGCTGAGGCCACGAGACACAGTCTCCTTTTCTCGCAGGTATGACAGGTACCCTATAGAGATACTGTCTGTGGTCCCTAGAAAACAGGCATACATGTGCTGAGATTTATCACCCAACAAAGTGAGTTTATATGCAAGCAGATATTGGCAGCTACACCTCCAACAGGCAAACTTGAAAACATGTCAGTTCAAGGAAATTTTACACACGCACACTCACACACACACACACCATCATCATCATCACCACCACCATCATCAACATGTTATCAAAGAGCAAGCTTCATGAAAGTTCAATCTTTGGTAATGTCCAGAAAATAAAAATGTGTAGAGACAGAAAGTGCAAACATACAGGCTGGTAACTGGGTAAGGACAGCCTGGCTGACTCAGGATAGGAGTCACGAATGGTCCTGAGTTCAGTTAGAGGAAAAAGCATTTGAAAATTGACTATGATAGTAATGGGCATGTCCACACACACAGTATACAAAACACATGAATGTTACATATTACATGGACGACTTGTGCATTATGTAATTTGTATCTTACAAAGCCATCATACAATGACTACAGTAGCACAAAACAGGTATGGAGATCTCGTGTGCTATGACATGGAGGAAAAAAACCAGCCAGACTTAGAGCCACCAAAGTGCTCAGTGTGAAAATTAATAGCACTTGTAGTCCACTTTGGTGTGTTCCCTAAGGCTGTGAGGCACTATGAGACTGAGGAGTCTAAATGCTCTTGCAATGGTAACTTGGAAATGTGTCTGACCTTTACATTGATAGATTTCCTGAATGTGGGTAGCTACAGTGCAGTCTGTTGAAGGCCTGGTGAGCAAAGACTCAGGGACCTTCAAATGAGATTGTCATCTGGACAGTGCAACCTAGACACTGACTAGCCAATTTTTTTTTTTCCGAGACAGGGTTTCTCTGTGTAGGCTTGGCTGTCCTGGAATGCACTCTGTAGACTAGGCTAGCCTCAAACTCAGAAATCTGCCTGCCTCTGCCTCTGCCTCCCAAGTGCTGGGATTAAAGGCATGTGCCACTACCGCCCAGCCTAGCCAATTATTCTTTAAGGCAAATCTCTTCATCTGTCTCACTGTTCCTGTGTCTCTCTCTCTGCCACACTCTATAGCTGTGTTTGTGAGCATGTGCACAGTTCCTGAGCATTTTAGACATGAAGGGACCCCATACACATAGGGCTATACGAGTGCACACATCCACATAAAAATGTTAAGTGTAATAAAATTATGAAAATTAGTAGAGACTGTCAGGGATTAGCAATGGAGGAACATCCTGTCACCTCAGCAAAAGCAGGTGGTGTGGCAGAGACAAACCACTTGTGAAGGAATTTGTCCCATGGAATAGGGAAATCACAGATGTGACAAGACTATCAGGCCCAAGGACCCAGGTGCCAATCATTGCCAGACAGCACCCCCCTTCCCTTCTCCGATGGCCCAAAGAATCAATGAACCTGTCAAGAAATAAGGTCACCCGAGCTCAGCTGGGACCTGTCTTATCAGCCCACATACTGACTAGCCTCAGAACACTTTGAAACACTCATTCACCCAGGTTTTCAGATGCTTTGAACCCACCCACGTGATGCATATTCAGCCTGCAGTGTTTAAAGGCTGTCGAAGCAACACAAACCATGATACCATAAAGGAACTCCTAAGGTTATGGAGTAGGGATGAGCTAGTCTGAGCAGACAGCCTAGACTGAGGGCTCAAGTACAGCAGGAAAACAATGGCCAGGGGCATTTCCAACAAGCAATGCCTTTATTTCTTTCCTACAAGAAGTGATGAACAGACCCAAAAGATGCCCTGGACACTGTCTCTGCTTCATGAGGAAGCAAGAGAGCACAAAGTTTCTTTCAACTGTGGGAAGATGAGTACACCTCAAAGAGGGGTTTTCAGGTCAGTATGCTGCAGGAGAGTATTAAGGCAGGACACAGGAGAAGATTGAACTGCCCCAGAGACACAGCTCTTGCAATTTCCTCTTCCTCGATCGATGATTCAGGTAACAAGTCCCTCTCTATATTATGGGGTCCTCCCTCATTGCAAAATGTGCCTGAACAGCACAAGACAAAGTAGAAGCTCTTGACACTTCTAAGCAGTCTAGGGGATTCTGGAGGAACTTGACTATGATATACAAATGAGCAATTCTTTGTGCAGTCCTTGTAGACGTAGAGCAGTCGAAGATTCACACCTACAAAGAAAGCAATCAGGAGAATTACCACCTTCACAGTTTAATTCTAAACCCACCAAGACAGTCAACTACACAACTAGCTCCATACCAGACATTGTCAAGAATGCCTGACAAAAAAAAAAAAAAAAACTAAGTTAGTAAGCAAGATGGCCCAGCTGCTTGTTACCAACATCTACACTTACCTTTCTTTCATTTTTTATTGAATATTTTATTTATTTACATTTCAGATGTCATCCCCTTTTCCCACTAGACCTACCACCCCCAGAACCCCTATCACAACCCCCATTCTCCTTTTTGCTTTTATACCGTTTTAATTACATGCAAGTTTTAAAGTTAGTTCTAGGTCGAGGAACCAGCAATACAATAGATGCAAATAGTCAAGGAACAAGCTACAGGATAAACATATGCAGGAATCTGTCATTAGGCTAGAAAAAAGAAGTAATTTCATGCAGGAATCTAAATCTGAGGCCAGAACAAAGAACTAGGATTCCAGCATGAAAATGACTTTGGGCTAGGACAGGAAAGTAGGTTCAGATATTTTGGTCAGCATAACAAGCCCTTAAAAACAGTGATCACTGGGTGATCACTGGACTTTGTGTATTCTCCTGTTTCTTCTTTGACCATTTGTGTTTATTGTCTTACCATACTTTCTATGCACGCTACCAAATTCATGACTGTCAAGGTCCCTCCCCAGTCGAATTCTTAGTCTCAGGACACACAGATATACAAATGAAATATCCTGTTCAATTTGGGCTCTGCTGTTACCATAACTGTTCTCCAAGTATGAAACAGTGACCAGAAACAATGCTCTCTGAGACTCCAGAGAGGTTTCACTGGAGTGTCCATATTCACGACTCCAGATTGAACTCCTTCCCAACCCTCTACCTGGCTTCCCAAGCTTTGGCACCTATGATCAAAGTGGGGGACCCCTAATGACTGACACTTTTCCACCACAGACTACATGGCACCACCCAAGCAAGGCTCCATAGAGAACAAGACCACCGCCTCCAGTGGCTTGAGCCCACTAGGGGTGTCTGACGTGAGCCCACTGAACACACCCTGCTGGTGTCCATGGGCTGAAGGCTTGAGGCCTTGCTGCTGCTGCTTGTTCCCCTTGTAGTCTACAGCCATGATTTAGTTCCTCTGCTGTGGAACTCACCCCAACTACTTTACCATTCACAGCCCTGAGACTTCTCTGCTGCTGGACATCAGAAGGGCCTTGTGATCATAAACCAAATAGCTGCCTCCTACACACAAACTCTGTGTTTATCAACAGTTGGACTTCAGCTCTCTGTCAGGGCTCTCTACTCACTTTGATAAGCCCTCTCTTAGCAAATGACCCAATCCAGGCGTGTCCGTGTCCCAGGGTGGCTTCCTTGTCTACTGGGCTGCCTAGAAAGGTTCTTTCCTGTCGGGGAGACGGCAGCTCCTTCCTGTACAACAGTTTATAGTGCAATTGTACTGGCATGGAGAAATGACTCCTCATAGCTGCATTTATGAGGACCATCGATTCCATGAACCCAAGAGAAGTGTGTGAATTTGCCCATTTCTGTTGTGCTGGACTCATAGGGTGATTTCCATTTGTTAATGGTGCTATCAGATTATCTGTTGCATTATATGGGCAAAGTAAAGCCAGGGGAGGGGGCAACCCAGTCCCTCACCTACCACTGGAAACAAACTACCCTTGGACAAATCAGCAATGTGTTATCTAGGGGTACATCATCCCGGACAGAGGCACAAGCACTAAGACCGTTGCTATCTGCTCCTTTCCAGACAAAGACCTTCCATCCTCCTCAATCTAGAGCCATAATGAGTTTAGACTCTATGGTGTAGCTTCCAGATACGACGGGCAGGGGCATTTAAAATGGGAACTTCAGAACTGCCAGATGAACTGCATTTAGAAATACTGCCAGTTTCCCTGGACATTCCCCAGTACAGTGGCTGTTTTCATTGCATGTTACTTGATGATGTACATGATATACTGACAGTAGTTATATCTTCATTGTAACCTCTGCTGACACCTCCACAATAGGTCACTGCTCATGTAAGCGATGTTTATTTTACCTGTGTGTGTACTCTGATTCAGCCGTAGCTTTGCCATCTCAGAAGGCAGGAGTCACCCCGAGGAACCAAGGTACCTCAGTGCTTGAACCTTGCTAGCTGTGGTGTTTGGTGGTTTGAATGAGAATGGTCCCTATAGGCTCATGTGTTTGAATACTTGGTTGCCCTCAAGCCCCTGCCCTTGGTAGAACTGTTTGGGAAGGATTAGAAGGTATGGCCTTACTGACACAGGTTTGTCACTTGGGGACAGGATTTGAGATTTCAAAACCCTAGCACCTTTCAAAGTTAGCTGTCTCCTGTTTGATGATCTAGCTGTAAGCTTCCAGCTGTTCCTGCCATTGTACCTTCCCCTCCACCATAACAGAATCTAGCCCTCTGAAAACATAAGCCCAATGAAATGCCTTATTTTAGAAGTTGTCCTGGGCATGCTGTTTTATCACAGCAATAAGAAAGTAACTACTACAGGATATGACTGCACAAGACCAGAAATCAACACTTGCACAAAGATTCTCAAAAGATAAAACAGAATGTCTACCCACATGCAGAGAGAGACCCTCAGGAGCAAAGGTCTGGGAGGAGCCACAATAGTCTCATTCCCTGGATATGCAAGGCATGTTGACTGTCAGCCTGCCACCAACCACAGGCTCTTGGTGCCATGAGCCACACTACCCAATCAGTGGGCTGAACCCAGTGCCTGTGGACAGGTTCTGAGTTTGAGGAGCTACCAGAAGAGTGGTGGATCCGGCTCCAGAGAGAACAGAGTGATCCTGCCCCCTAAGATTGTACATGGGATGTACAGATTTTATACTCTAAGTGACCAAATTACAGATACTTACGTATGGCGAGTGTCAGACATCGTCTGATATTTTCATGACAATCCACGTGATGCTCACATTGGAAGGTGTTTTCGAGCTCACATGTATTGCATTTAATTTTAGGAACCCCTAAAGGAGAAAATCGTGTTGGACTTTTAACCCCAAGAAGCCTTTTAACCATCATACTCCCACTCATTCACTCCTCAGCCCCTCACAGCTGTTCTCCAGTATATTTCTCTACATAAGCCACACCCAAAGGCCTCCAGAGCTCAGATTCTGGCATGGTTAGTTAAGGTATGGCTAAGCTGGATCCCAGCAAAGCAAATGGCTCACCACAGTCCTTTCCTTGTCCTGAAAGGCTGTTCACATATAAAACAGCCAAGCACTCCAAAGAAGTCCACCCCTCTGTGGATCAGTTTTCCCCCCAGGAAATCTCCATCCTCTAGTGATTCTAGGGACTCTGCACCTTCTGTACCTGCACAGGCAGTGCTATGGCCAGATACTCCCTCAAGTCTCCAGGTCAGCAGCTCTCTGTAGGAGCCTTTGGTTCAGTCAACGCTGTTGAATCTCAGAAGTATCCTGCAGTCCCACGTTAACACAACAAGACTAGTGTGATTTGCTTCTGGTGAGGCCAAATCAAACAAGCCTTCTTATAACCCTAGACCACTCTAAGTGGATTCTCCTTCCATCTAAAACACTGAGAGTCTTCGGATCATACTTACACCTTGGCATAACTTCCATGTCATTGTCCAAGCCACTAGTACTGTTGTCTAATCCACTGGAATTGTTGACAGTGGTGTCCACCCATGGGAGACCCAGGAGAATTAGCAAGAAGAAGGAGAGCACCATTTCCAACAGGTGGGTGAACCTGAAAGTAAAGAGAATTCTGTCCCCATCAGTGAGGGTCAGGATCCTTGCTCCAGGTCCATGTCCTCAAAATCACTGAACTAAAAAGTCAGCACCGGCCATGGCCTCCACCTGCCCTCATGCTCCTACCACAGGAGCTTCACGTCTTTACCTATTCCTTCCTGCTCTGCTTCATATGTGGATCTTGCTTCCCATTTCTGAAACTGTCCTGGTGGCTCTGTCAGCTTCCCCCGTCTAGACCTTCTGGTTCCCATGGACACAGCCCACATCCTCCCCACTCCCAACCTGTCCTCCCTACCCTAACATTTGATGTGGATACCATACCCTTGTTAGAAACCTATCCCCATCTTCCTACTCTCCTGGTCAAGACTCATCCTGCTGACTCCCCTGAGTTTTCCTCATGGAGCTGTCCCACTGGGCTGGAGCTTATCATCTCACGTCTGGAACTTGGCTGCTTAATTGGAATCTAATGCACCCTTCTGGAATGTTCCAGGATAGTTACTCAAACTCTGATAGCACCTCTCAGCTGCTGGCCCCACTGGGCTGGTCTGTACTCATGAGAATGTTCTAGAAGGCCCTGCCTGAGGAAGATGGGCAACATCCTCTTTCTGGAGACTATCCTGAAGACTGTCCCCATAAAGGGCATCTCTCTGTACCTACCCTCCTTCCTTCAGGCTTCAAGCTCTGGAGTACCATTCCCCTCACTCACAACTCTGACCATCACTCTGAGTGATT